CAAGTGCAAACACCTGCTGAGCCCACCTGTACGCAGCGGACTATATCTTAAACATATAATGATAATATAACAATAAATAAATATTTTGAACCATATACCAAGATTATTTTCCTCGTACAACGACTGCCGTCACTCAAACTGATATAACATACATGGCTTACAATATTTTGTAGAATGAATTTTGCAAATATTAAAACCGTAAATGAAACTAATATTATTCGGCTTTATTTACACCCGGCTACTTTTCAGCAACCGTGATCACAGGCAGACAAGACTGAAATCTCGTCTGTAGTACATCATAAAAATATTAGATTCATTTAAATGAATAAGACTCTCCAAAATCTTAGTCTTCATTATTAAAACTGTATTTTATGGGTGGAATTAAATTTAGTTATGTTTTATTTAACATTTAACAAGACGTTTTGATTACAGCTGACAGAGCTCGTGATGAGACGAGATGAAAGTGTCTGTCTGTCAGCTATGATTATGACTTCTGAAGCCAACGATATCTTAATTTTTCTTACTCTACTGGAGAATAAATAAAGTTATTAATTTAAAACATTATTAACGTATATTCAGACAAAAAATATAGTTCAAGATTCTTACATGACACACTTTTTTTTACTGTCTTTTAACTAAATTTATCCAATAAAGTTAAAAGTTTTACAAAGAACTAATTCGTATAAGTTTTTCTTGAAACGTTTTCATATTTAAGTTCATAAAATATTTATATTTATAATGAAAAAAAAAGTGTAGAAGGTCTTACGGTAGTTATAGAAAGATATATTTATGATACACTTAGTGGGTTAACTATTATAGATTTTTAAAAAGCCCTTTTATTACTTCAATGCTATATAGTGATATATTTTTGTAGTTGATCATAAAAATTCAAAGGAAAAAACCATATCAACATAGTAATAAAACGAGTTGAAATATGTCGAATAAGATATTAAGATAAAAATAAATAGTTATAACTGAAAATATTTTTTAATTTAGTAGTAGGTAGGTACTAAAAGTTATAAAATATTGATTCAAATTTTTAATAACAATACACATTCTAAGATAATTAATATTATGAAGCGTAATAAGTAATAAATTTGGTTGTTTTTATTCTGAATATTTTATAAACATATGTACTTATGTATAATGAAATAAAATGTTTAAAATTTCTTTATAATTCGATATAAAAAAAATTAAACAACGGAAAGATGCTTAGTAATAAATAGTTAAAATTTAATTCCATTATAACTTTTGAAGATTACCATACATAACTCACTCTATAAAACATATATATTTATACAAATACATTACAAACATACATACATATAAATATTTTGTATTAATTTATAAATCGTGTTAAAGTAACACCCTGTATAATAAATATCGTAATAAGCACCGTATGAACTCAGTTCGCACCGAGCCGAGCACACCTGTGTAATCGCATTAGCCTTATCATTGATAGCTTATCTTAATTCAGAAAAGATTCGGTTCCCTTACACTTGTGTGACGGTATGTAACCCGCTTTATATACTAGAATTATATATACATATATATACAAATTAGTTTAAATATATAATTAGTATATAGAGCAAACTTGTTATATGTATTACTTATAAAATCTTATAATTTATTTGCCATTCAAATAACTGTCTTAGGAGAGCTGCGCAGGACCTTCAATATATTTTAATATACTTGAACCAGTCTTAAATGAATTTTACATTTAGATTGCCACTTATTGGCCCTGTGGCGCAACGGATAACGCGTCTGACTACGGATCAGAAGATTCCAGGTTCGAATCCTGGCAGGGTCGTGAAAATATTTTTATTAATTTTGCTTAATTAAATTTTCAAATTATTATATACCTTTTTAATTAAACGACTTTGTTATAGAGAAAGAAATAAAAGCCATAGTTAATTTTAAAACTTATTTCTCAAGATATAAGGTACAAAATAAATAAAATGTCATAATATATTAATGGTATTTAAATTAAATTAAGCTTAGTTATATTGTGTTAAAGTTTGTTTTTGAATATAGCGTTGAGAAATAAGTCTCATGAACGCAGCTGATCAAATATTGTAGTGGCGATAATTGTATGTGATGCAATCGTGTGATGGTTCCGTATTCGATACACGACTATTCTTCCTTTCTCTTTGAAGTAATGTACCAAGTTTTATAATTTAATTTGTAGAAATATAGTATAGTTTAAAGTAACAATAATTATTTCTTAAAGAAGTAAATATTGAATTTCTTCTCAGTATATTTTTCATATAATTTCAAATTTGTTTTAATATATTTACAATAACTACATAAGTAAAGTTTAATTTATGTAAAAGTATAAATTATTGATTATTCATGAATATAAAGGTTAAATAACTTTGTTATATTTAAAATCACGAAGTAATAATATAAATATTAAATATTTTTGACTAATGATATATGGCGATACACTGCTGAAGTAAGTTTCTCCAATATGTAACTCAAAATTGTATACATAATACGTATTCGTGTAATAAATAAAAGAAATAAATATGTAATAATGTTTTATTTACTGTTTTGTCCATCGGTACCATATACAAAGAATCAGTGCGATTTAATTAAAAGGGATTTAAGATTTACATAATGAAAAAAATCAATAAGAAGTTATGTGATTGTAATGAGCTGCCAAAAACGTGATCGATTGTCGGATCACGTGACCGACTAGAGCACGTTAAACAATGCGTGTTTAGAGATGTCTTCTTAATTCATCAATGTATCATCTTGCCAAGTCTTATAACTAAAGTACGCTTGTTTAACGGGCCCTAGTTCACATAATCTATTTGTATTCAATGATATACATATAATTATATGTACATTCGTTGCCACTACATCCCAAAATAATTATAACTATAACAGTCTGTTTAAAATCATAATACAATTAATAAGATAATTAAAGCATTTTCACCTTATATTCAATATAATAAAGTGTCTCGAATTTGATAATTTTTGCTAATTTCTTTTTTTTTTTTCTCGTATATAATTTTATTTTATTTTAAATACACTATTTACATTTGTACTAAACGCAGTCTGATAAATTAATTAAAATGAAATATTACGTTCAGTACATACTTATATATTCTTTATAAACTATAAGAGCAACAAAATCGCCATGCATAATCACACTCATGATATTAACTTAAAATAAAGCTATATAGGTAAATCAACTTTGAATTGATTCACTTCTTTGATATAAATGGAAGCATCGTTTTAAAACTAAAATACTAGAAGCGAATTACAAAGAAAGAAAAATGAAATCTTTTCATACAACATAATACAAATCAACATTATGTTCACGAAGTTTATTGCGTTTCATTAGAATTGTTCCACGTAGTTATGAAAGATAAGATGTCGCAAACCACTCAACATTATTTACAAACATGTTCACGTACATCGACCTACATTAATAACTAATAAAGCTTTATACATTAACATTATAACAAAACAATCCGTCACCGCGACGCCTCGGCGAGTCGGTTCGGCTTGATTGCATTGCAATGCTCAAGTCTTAGAGTAATGCCATCGAATAATTAAATAAACATAATGATCTTAACGAGATCGTGCTTAGGATATCATCACGGATGATGTTCACTGGACCTGGAGGCTCCCTCGTGGAGCTTACGAGCACAGTTGAACCTACGGAGCGGCGCCGCGCACCTCGAGGTATATTTGACGTCCATTAATATAAATGTCCTTTAACCTAACAAACACTTAGCACGTCGACCTGTCCGGCTGGTCTTGTTTCTCTGGCGTCTGTAACAAAAAGAAAATTACATTTAGTTTCAAATCCTTAAAGATATATGTATTATGTTTAAGTATAATATATTAATAGTTGGCTATGAAAGGATAGTAAAAGAATATCATGTGATGGCATTGTTTGTGAAATGTTTCAATTTATTAGGGACAAGCCAATTATAACCCTCGTCACGATCACTATAACTAGCAATCATTATACCGATTACAACAGCAGTATGTCGGGTGTGGCGTATGAAGATCCCGCCCGCGTCCGGCCATCTGTCACCACATATGTGATGTCAACACAGTATTAATTCATTAGCGGAGGTCAAAGGTCTAGTGTTGTAGTCCTAGTTCTATACACTTCATGGACTATCACCTTCTTCCGAGTTCTCAGTATCGACGAGCGTTAGATTACAGCTTCCCGTACAGCCGTGATCCAGCTGAACTCGCACGTGGCCAAACCCTATTTACAGACGTAGCGAAGGGAGAGCGCACATGTCCCGAACGGATCGGGACTCTGCGAGACTGAACACGTGAAATGCCTTTATGTGAGGAGCATTGTCGGCCGAATAATGAATAGGTGCGTTGCATTTATTTAGCTATCGGCCACCGGCGCCGTCACGTGTGCTCGTACGCAGCTGTGAGAGACCGTTACCCGCACAATGGCCTCGATTGATAGTCCATGGAATCCGAGCGATCGGCGAAATCATTGCACGTGTGCAGAACTGTACAGATCTGTGGAGATGGCTTGCGGTACAGACGTATTGTCTGTACGATGCTCATACGGTGTGTTGCTTCCGAGAATCGTAAATGTAATCGTAAAACTTTCACATTCGCGATTTATGCGTAAGTTAGAGGCTAAAATATTCAGAGGAGCAGGCGAGCGGCGAGTGTGGGAGGTGACACCTGGCGGAATTATTATCTCTTGAACGATGAAATTACGCGTAGGCGCACTAGTAATCCGGTTAAGCACTAACCTAGGCATCGCTTGATTCGATTCTTTATTTCCTTTTCAATTACTACAAATATCCAATGCTTGAGTTTCGATTACAATAATTACACAGACAACATTTATCTTTAATATTTTAGTTATGCAGCTAATTGAAGGGTGTGTGTTTGTTAATGGGAGGGGTGAGAGATTACACGCTCATTCGTATTCATTGACAGTCAACTGTTTATTATAACTAAAGTGAGAAGTCAACAGTTGTGTGATCGAGATTATGTTGATGTTAGGGATTATAAACGAATGCAGCATATTGAACTCTTAGTACGGTCGTGATAAACAAAGATAATAGATGTGTTCTCATCGTTTGACTGACACGTCGATACATCTCGGTGTCGTGAGGTCCCGGGGCGGTCAGCTGCGAGCTACAATTTACTGCCGCGTATTTTGAATTGTTACAGTCGGCGTGGCGTATGTTCGTGACTGAGGTTTGTGGCACACAGCGTTCGATGCCTCTCTCGATAGCGCCGTGAAATGCCGTCTCACGACCCACAGTGGAACTGGGAATTCCAACACGATCAGCCCGAGGCTGTTTATAGCTCGTGATTTTTTATACGACAAATTAAATCAGGCTGCCAGAAAAGTATCAGTTGACGCCGAATGTCCTTGTTAGACTAATAATTTATAATTTTATTCAGAAATGTGGTTAAATTACACAACATTCCGTCGGTTCGTACATAACGGAGGCGGTCTATTAGTAAATAATACGATCAACACATACGTTAATGCTTTTGTTCGGTCGCTGCTCATAGTTTGTCAAAGGAAAATCATACGCATAGAAATAGCGAGTACCTGGCCGTGTTACCGAAAACAAGGCAATAAATTAAAATTTTAGCAGATGCATATTATCTGCGAGAGTGTCGTGGCAGTAAATTTTAGACAGCAACATTTGCCGCTTAAATCACGTCTGATTAAACATTTCCCTCATTTCTAACAACTGGCAGTGATTAAAATTTACGTGGCGCGACCAAGTATTAACGAGCGGGCATCGCGCCGGTGGCTTGTAGACACAAGGCGTTTAAATAAATCCTTTGGGATGCACCTGCCGGCTGGCGCACTCAATGCCGTCCAGCTATAGAGCAGTGCATTTATAGTCTAGGCAGTTTAAACATCCCCAGTGCGAAGATAACAGGAGATAAGGTAATAATAGCTGGCGCAGGTGTCAATCGGCATGCTAAGCGAGCCACGAATGTCTTGAATATTCAGATTATGTATCAGTACATGATCGTTTAAGCGGCGCCGGCGCAGGTGGCCGTACTTCAAGGCTGAAATTCAAAACAGCCGTCACGCATGTTGAGTAGCGGTCTAGATCGGAACTATTCCATTACATCAGTTTAACACGTATTCGAATATTTTGTTCGAACTGTTATGGACAATATATACCGCCAATAATACCTAATTTCTATTACTTGGATTCAACTTAGATAATAATTTGAATAACATTGATAATTAATTGATAACATTAAAAAATTCAGTTTACAATGTATGTAGATCGTGCGTCGACGTAGATTGCGAAAACCCAACATCTCCACTTTTACCTTCCCGCGCTTGCGAAACACGCAGGTGTGCGCCGCAAAAACACTGACACGAAAGATTTCATTAACTTTTTATGCAATACTCTATGCGAGCAAATTTAATAGAGAACATTAAAAGACTTTGAAATATAAAATACGAGGGTTATACGTGACTTTAAAATTTATAAACATTATATTTATAAAATGTATGACTTTAGATATATTATAAGTAACACTTACCGTGTGATTTGAATGATGTGAGGGTACAGCTTTGTCAGTCGGGAGGATTGTATTGGGAGCTGGGCGAGGTCCGAGTGGCCTGCGGCGCGGTTTCGGCGGAGACGTACAGGTCGGCGCCAGGGCTGCCTCGGCTTCGAACTGACCAACCGCTGGGTGATTCTCCAGAGCCGACTGCAGGTCGCAGATGTAATCAATGACGTGCTGGATGACTTCTAACTTAGAGATGCGCCTATTTTTCGGCATGAAAGGCACGAGGTCTTGTAATTTCGATAGATACATCTGTATCTCAGCGTTTTCACCGTCCCGGTGTCTCTGTACACGTCCGCTGGCGATCGCCGGCACGGAGGCTCCGGTCGCACACATCGCCGTTATGGCTTTCATCGTGATGATCACAAAACACGAACACTGGTTGTATACGAGTAACACGGCACGACGCGTACCTCGAGCGAGCGGCTAGAGTGGAATGAGGAGATGAGCGGCCCGGCCTCGTATTTATAGGCACCGGTGGGACGCGGGGCGGGCCCTGTGGACCAATGGCCGCGCGGAAGGGGGCGGTAGAGCCTGATTTTCCCATGGCGGCGTTGCGTGGTGAGACGGCGGCGTCTGCCTTGCTCTGGGCGGCCCTGTTTAAGGCCGTTGCGCTTGTGTTAAGAACTGTCCTTTATTGTTTTGTTATGAGCCTTTTTGTTTAGATTTCTCTTAATCACTACTCTCTTTTCGTACTAAAAATATTTTAAAGTTTTGTAACATATATGAGATTATCAATAAATTATATAAATAGTAACAAAACGTGTGGGTTATAAGTAAAATAAATTCTTAATAACTATTATATATTATTGTACAGAATGTAGAAAACAGCGTTTATACTTACTCATGAATATTTAATGAAATAACTTCGCTAGTGTGATGGCGCTTGCAGGGAGCAGTTATAAATTAATTAAATACTAACAGGTTTTTGCTACGTCACTAAAGGTTTGAGCAATTACTTTGTTTTACACGTTTAGTATCAAGGTTCAAATCGAGATAACTCTTATACATAGTTATTAACTTAAGTTTTGTAGATCTTTGTCAATGTAGGAAAGATAAGGGAATGATACAGACTTCATATTGATAGCAATATATTTGGAGTAAGTAGTAATTATACTAAGAAACTAAATTTAATTTATATCCTTGTACAAGAGTTTATATTTTCGTAATTACGTTACTAGATATACATATGTATATGTCTTAGCAAATAAAAATGTTCGACTTTTTCAAAATCCTTTTTGAATACATATGGCGAGGATTGAATTTAATTCCTGTTCAATATTTTATAACATATAATGAAACTATAAATATCAAGACCTTTGTGAACCGTATGGGGTAACAATAGTCGTACGTGTCGGCATTCACTTGTCGCATCGTCAGGTATGGAGGCTGAAATAACAGGTAAGGTAAGCTAACAGGTAACAGGTAATCTAGATTCGTGATTCATTTATATTTATATTTTTTATTTGTATTTATAAGGATATTAAATCGATACTAGAGACTTATTAGCACTCTATTACGTAGCAATTATGAAAAGACTTATATTTTATCAATAAAAATAGCCTTTAGAACTAATGATTGATAAATAATTTACTTTATATAAACAATATAACTTAATTAATTTCAATTATATTAGAATAATTGAAAAGTTACAAGCTTCCATTATATCTGATACAAAAAACACTTTAACGGCATTTTAAAGGTAATCTTTAAACTTCGATTTGACCGCCTCGATTTTATAACTGTGACTGTAAAAAAAATATAAACAAAAAGTCACCTTGACTCGTAACGAAGTCAGGTAGTAAATTGCTTTATTTGAAAGGTTCTGGTCATTATTTAACAAATACACTATTAAATAAATTGTTTTTATTAATATACAATTATAATATTGGTTATGTTTAAGTGAATCGTTAAGATGATTATGTTTATTAGGAGAAATATAGGTATATGTGTCATATTATATAATTATGATGGACGTGAATGTTTTGAATCTTATTGATTTAGTTCTAAGTAGCTAGCATTTGATATAATATGAAAATTAATATAATTATTTATTTATATATATAGAAGAAAGTTGTGTTATTTACACTATTTATAACTCAAGTATAGTTGTAAGGATATGGTGGAAAATTGGTAGGGTATAGCTTAGAACCAGGAGACGGACATAGGATATTTATTGTGTTCGATCGAAAAAGAAAAAAAATATATATATTAGTACATGGTTATTTATCGTCTCTACGTCGGAGTAGAGTTCGCCCGGTATATTACATATTCCTAAATTACCGCCGACGAAGTCACGGGCAAAAACTAGTTACTTATATAATTAGTCTTGAAGAAGCGTTAAATATATTGTTTACATAAATTCTCAACGACTTTTAGACGTGTTTACATGGAAATGTAAAAAAAAGCGGATATTCATTGTCCACTCACGTACGGGAGTCTTTGTCGACAGCAGATCTTGGATCTAAAGCACCTTGCAGTGTAATTTGTTACAAAATTTTTGTTTTAGAACAGGTAACTTAGTGCCGGAGACAATAATCAAAAAAATCCGTAACAAAAGACAATTCGTAAGGTGTTTTTGTTGAGGGCGGTTATAAAAACTTTTGCCGTCCAATATTATTGTTCCCGCAGGTGTAAATTGTCTTTTGAATTATTCAGGTGTGAAATTTTTGAAACGTACGGAACCCGGGACGATGTGATCACAGTTGAGGCACGTATCGGTCGTTTGTTGACACAGAAATGATAAGTTTATGGTAATGCGTTACAGTAACAGCGGACAACGTAGCTACGAGTATGTAACAATGACATTAGCTTTGCCGTTTGCGATGTCCAAACCGGCTGACCGAATTCTAACAGCAGTACAATTGTTCATCTCCTAGAAAAAGCAGCTGAAAATTTACTACAATTTTAACTATTACCATCGAATTCTTAATCCTATGATATAGTATAGCAATTATGTTTCTTCTGACGAAATAAATAGAACAAGTAATTAGCGAGTAAACCCAGTAGTGATTCCAACTTGTAATCGTCCTTTGTTCATAAAAGTTTATTAGTATTGAGGTTCATTATAAGGGCGGTATGCTTACATATTTACCCCCTGTTAGCCCGTCGTGGGAGTGCCGAGCGCGTGCCTCTCCCATCGCTTCATACACCCTCATTGATTGCAATTCGATATACCATTGTTTTTTTTTTGTCAATATAAGCATTTGATCACTGCATTCAGTATCTAGAGATTGGTTAATTAATTAGTACGTCCAGATTTAAATGTATTTCTGTTATAGAACATAATAAAAACATATATTATTTTGTACTAAAATCAATTTTAGTTGTGAATATAAGGTTACTTTATGCATTATTAAATTCAATTTTCATAACGATCCCAAAAAACTGATACCCAAACCAGCACCTATATTTATATTTATTTCATCCATTAACGTTATTGGAGTGTTCTAATAAATAATTCAGGCTCGAAGCCGTATAGTTCTGGTAATATTGGCTGACCGGAATGGCCTCGTGTCTTTATTGACATGTCGATCGTGCCCCGGTCCCACGGGAGGGCGCTAGAAATCCCTTAATTCGTAGCTTGCAGGTGCGGGCTCATTACTCGCTTTTCCGCCACGTGGCGGCGCGTGTATACAAGATATATTATATACACGACGCACGAACACACGTCCAATATAAATAGAAGTTATATATTAAATGTTATATACTGATAGAGCTTAGGTGATGTTTAACCAGATTATGAATGCGTTTTTTGTGAGAATTTGTTCCTTTATGTTCATCGGAATACATTGTTAAAATTCCTTAACAATACATTCCGATGGGAAGGTTTGTGGTCTCGTGTGAATCCGAGCAGGCTCGCGTGGGAAGCCGGCCGTGGGTCAGAGGTCGCCGGGATAATGGCGATGCTCTGATAGTATGCGCACGCGCATTCCATTAGGACGAGGATGGTGAAGAATTATAAAAATTAAAAATACAACATTACATTGTAAGATCCAAACTAAAGTATCAAAATTAAGGTTTTTGGGGAATATTTTAATGTATGTTCTATTTAATAACATGACTACTGATAGTTGACTATACAATATTATTTTTGGGTCCACATTTATTTTTATATTATATAGCAATAAACAACTCTTTGGTTGACTGTCACTCATGAGAGCCCATAACTGTATTATCACCTCGAGCATTATTTTAATTTTGGAAGGACTCCTCAAGCAAAAGGCAACTGTAATATCTCAAACGCTTTTACCCTAATGAGATCTAAGACTCGCGAGTATGCCTTAAAATGAAACTAATATTTTCGGATGACTACGTGTTATTTTCCTTTTAAGATGTTTTATCTACTGTCAAGTCAGTTCATACGACCTGCACACTTAAGTTAACATCGATATAATATGTAGAACTAAATATATTTCTAATAAATAAACTAATCACATTTTTATTTATAATATTTAACATCGAAAATAATGTTTTAACTGATTATGATATGCATGTTGTAGTTATTAAGAAGTCCTTCAAAGAAACTACCAAACCTATTTTATTACCTTTTAATGCAATTAGTTACGGTGCACACGGTTCCATTAAAGATTTTATGTAAAATGCAATGGCCAATATTCAGTTTTCTACTTAATCATAAAAATTTTAATATTATTATAAAGCAATTCGATATCAGATATATTCTTTATGACCATGACTAGTATTAATAGCGTGCTTACAATGTAGGCGGGGGGGATTAATTTGCAATAAGCGTAAAAGGCATTTAATAATGCAGACGTGCGCTCGCGTGCGCGTGCTGTGAACAAATACCCGGCAATCGAGTAATGAATCCAAGGGTGGGGGGAGGGGGGGGGGGACAACACGTGGCGGTCACGTGACCGATTTAAAATTTTTCTTTCCGTACTACCGAGGGTGGTAAAAGCTATTACATTATACATAGACGTATTAGTCATTCGTTATTAAAAGTATTTTTAATTATTACATATTTTAATAAAATATAACTAACTTTTACTATTTACCCAAACATTTATTGAATTTGCATAAATACAGTTGTAATATAAAATATATTATACATAATTAGTTATTATTTTAAGTCGCATTAATTTCAAATATTATTCGAGATATCTACATATTTAGTTTCATAATATACAAATATTACCATTCTTTTATATGTAAGTATTCACATATGACAAGATGCGTTTTAAAGTCTAAGGAGAATATCAAAAAAGTAAGAAATGTATTTTAAAATCTCGTCTTATTGCTCCCAAAGTTTTCACGTGTACATTCATTGTGCTTACAAACCTCCATATGCCTACCAGACGAACTTTTAGCTGGATTTTTATTGTTACGAATTC